ATCAAAAAGCCTTATCAGACTCATGTTTGGTGTGACAACGAGTGGCAGTGGTGCAATAAGTAATGGTGGAATTTAGAAATTTCTTTTTCTATCGTTTCACCGAGGGGACCGAGAGCACCGACAGCTAGCTGTAAGTTGTAACGGAGTTCGTACACGAAGTTTTTATATTGAAAGTCTCAGTACTCGTCCTGTTTCTCCAAGCCTCCGCTATCGCAACGCGCACGGCAATGGGGTTGTCGGCTGTCTCTTTCACGCTCGAGTTTGCCTCTAATGTCGACAGTCATTTTAGAAGTGCAAGACCGCTATCGAGCGGCTTTCAGTTTGCCGCAACCTCCGCGACCGGCTTCGTTCCGCAGGACATCATGTTGCTATAAGTGCGGAAGCAATTCAGGCGGCCGTCGTCCTGCTGGACAACTGGCGCAAGTCTTCACGAAAACATCGAGTGGTCCCACCTAGGAGCGCTTGCGCGGAGAACAGAGCGTGTTACAGAACGGCTGAACTGCGCCATGCTCCGCCGTGATAAGGAGAGTCTCAGGTCATTAAGGGCGCCGGCTTGTTGGGCTTGACTTGGTTGTGTCCATGCAGTTACCGCCAGCGAACCCACCTCATCACTCAGCAAATGTCTCGGCACCACCACATCGGCAGGAGCCGGCGAAGGGCGTTTCGAAATCCGAGGGCAGATGCAGCTAACAAGCGTTGGCGATCCCACTCAGCTGGAGCTATTCGGTACACTGGTATGCTAGAGGCTGATATCAACAAGGTAGCCTGACAGCCGTCCTCCCGCACATCACACTCTCACCGGTTTCGAGCAATACCGTTGATCTGTACCTTATTAATCCATCCGTTGCCGTCTCTGTCAATCACCCTTCTATGTCGTCTCGCAACACAGGGACAGGATGTATGAACGGGGGACAACGCAGCACCCGACTGCCTACTGCTGTCCAGTCTACCGAGTACCGATAGCACAGAAGCAGCACCTCATAATCCCCAGTACGAGCAGTGCCTTTGACGCCATTGCAGACCTTGATAAGGACCGGAGGAAGATCGCAGACCATGCAGAACACAGGAGAATACAGAATCGGATCGCTCAACGCAAGTACCGTAAACCTCCCACCCTACTCTGTCGATCTGGAGCCTCGTCTAACGATACGACAGGCAGGAAACTCAAGGAGCGGCTTGAAGACTTAGAACACAGCGCTGGGTCCAGCTTGGCGTCAGGCGAGGAAAGGTATGAGGAGTTGGCGCTACCCGAATCGGTCGCATCGAGTCAGGCTACCTGCAGGACGGCGTTCCGAGCGCGGTCAACTAGCCGCCGAGCCGCTCATGGTCGAACGCCTAGAACTCACCAGTACTACCTGCGGCCAAGTAGCGAATCATCGAAGTTGCAGGACACGTTTGCGCGACATCACTCCCAACATCCAACTCTGGTTTACCGGCCACTATCCCAATGATGAGTCATGCACCGTACACCCAGATGCCCGCCTCCCGCGATCAGCCCGGCACCAGCATGGGGGTGCCATCGTATCCACGATATCTTGGATCTGTGAGACAGAACTATGTACACAGTATGGCGAGGCAGCCTGCTATCATCGAGTCAATATGGGATGATGGGATCAGCCCTTTCGCTGCCAGCTACTCCGGTCTGGTCGGTATGGACGCATCTTCGGCTGCATCACACCTGAACGCGAGAACAACACCTCCCCACCCACATACTCATCGCAGCCACAGCGCTGTAGATTGGTCCACCAACACTGGCTGATGCCCAGCTTTCGGCGGCTCCATTATCGGGTCCATTTGTATTATAGCAAGACCGCTCGCTGCTCGACCTATTACACCACCCAGCTCACAGATTTGGGCCGCGTGGTTGTGGACGAGCCGCGAATCCTAATCGCACCAGAGGGCAATACTCCACTCATCATGGGGCTCGTAGATATGTGCCATGGACATATGGACGACTCAAGGACATAGGGATACTGTTAGAGGAAGCGAAGATCCTGATACTCGCTCGGCACTAGCATCTCGTTGGCCTCGTGCAAAGTGAAGGTGGCTCGTTCGCTGTCTTTATGGATGGCGAAGATGTGGATCTCCACCACAATCTCCGGCCAAATCAACAACCTCGTACACACTTGAAGAGGATTCAGACTTAGTGGCAGCTTTACCTCTCCGATAGCGTTGATTCCCTGGCTTGCCGAATCTACGACGCCTTTTTGGATGTTCCATCTAAGTAGTGAAATCAAGTCTTTGATCCACCATTGCGGTAACGCCATTCGCGATTCTTCAACAGCTCGAGGCATTACCACCACCATACAGATGGCGCAAGGATCTAGATAGCATGGTAGCGTCATGCGCCGCACCACAACGATTGTATAGGATGAGCCTCCGATACTTTAATGAGATATCTATCCGCTGCAACATCGACTTTGTCGACTCTGTAGGCCTCTAGCGATGTCTATACCCAGGAAAAATGTCACCATAGCAGACGTGTGAAGGTAGGTCCATCTGTTTGGCACAATTTGTCAATCGCTTTGACTCAGCGCTCTAAGGGTTGACAGCTTCGTAGTCTCTTTTAGATACCGGGAGCATCCGCTCAGATTATGTGAGCAACACGTTCTCCGGTCACGGGATGAAGTGCGCATACAAGCCGGCGTCGCCGCACCCACAGTCAGCGATGAGCTCGCCATCTGCGGCCGCTGCGCAGTCTTCGACGCAGCACGATTCGCGGGCCTCAAGTTCGGGCTCTCCAGCTCTTCATCCACTCACTGCATCCTGCTGTCGCGCCGCTCGCTCGGTCGCAGTCTGTGCACTCCAGTATCTTAACGTATTCCCCATGAGTGCATCCCTGTTTCTTTACCCATGCCGCATCGGCCCTTTCCGCACGACGTGCAGCGATGAACTACGCCGATTGGACTTCTTTCAGCGCTGCAGCTAGGACCGCAAGCTCGGTGTCCGAGCGAGGCGGGTAGGCGCGGTGACGAAGCTGGTGATTTGGCGGCTATTGCTGTATACCTTCTAAAATGAGGAGAAGGTCACAAGAAGAACACACGGTACGCCCAAATCCTCTTGATGGCGGCGAGCGTTCACATAGGTGCGATAGGTTCAACATGCGCTCAAACTATCTAGCTTCACGTGCGCAGAGCGTCCGTTCTCATGCAGGCATATGGCCAGCCTCAGGCTTCAAGATCCACGAAGACAATCTTGCAGAGACATGCTGCTCCACCCATTCACGCGCGTGTACGCTAATTTTTACTTATGTTCCCCATGGTCCTCACCCTCCAGAGTCTCCGCTGATCGGGTAGTGTCGCTGCCGGGGATTGAGGCTTCAGGGACGGTTTGAGCTTTTAGCATCGCTCGTCGCTGTTCCGCGAAGAGATCGCGCTACCAGCCCGTCCCTCCAAGACCGCGGGTCGTCGTTGTGTCACCTCTTGTTCCTCATCCCTCATTCACGTTGATATTCCATCAGACATGTGCCATCGCTACGCCCCCTACCGTTCCCAATTCCACCTCCTACCGACAATCCTCGACTCCCGTTTCTACCGAATTCCGGATCGCCGTAGAAATGCGCGCCCATCCTCCCAATCCCAGCCTGCCATCGATGGCCAACACCACTTCTACTCCCAGACCTCGAATTCGGATCACTCGCCCAAACGGGGAACCCATCCGGCGGCACGCTCTCGCTCAGAAGCTTCTCGCGTTCGTGAGCCACCCCAATGTAAAAGATTATGAAACACCGGGAACGCTTAGCCGCAAATTCAACTCTGAAACAGCTTGACAGCTCCCGTGCTACGTGTACAGTCAATGCTCAATGCAAAGTCGTTGATAGGTCCACCTAATGCCCGTCAGAATTCAAGCCATTCACATAACATCTGGGTCTCTTATCCAACAGAACCCAACAGATCACAAGAGTCGTGTGAACGCCTAGATCCTTCCCGAGACCGCCCTCCGGTCGTGGTCGCATGACACTGACGTGAAAGGCCGAGACCTTTTGATTTCCTTTTCAGCGGCGGCAGAGTATTACTACAGCATCACAGCGACGTCGCTGTACAGAAGTCTGCGAGCAGATGATGTTAAATTCGTAGCCTTTATTGGAAGCTTGAAGTGATCGGTTAGAAGCTTCACCAAAACCCTGCTGTCGAATTTCGATAGCCGGCCTAGTGTATACAGATCCCGCCCCCACGCTACGAAGACAACAGTAGAAACTCTGCAGTAAACAATGTGAGAAACTTGGGATCAAACCCACCCTGGCCGTGGCGCAAATTCTCATCTCGCTACTGTTTAATGAAAAGGGGATCCGGTACGGATCCTGAATCCTTCCGTGTAATATGCTCTCTGGCTTCGTCGCAATTCCGGGCTCGGGACAATGCGCGGTTGATAAAACAAGAGCACCCCGTGCTGTAGCACTAGAGCATGGAGAACAGAGGCTCGAACAAGAGTTTGCTGGAGCCCAGCAACAGGAACGTACTGAGGCAAGGCAAGAAGGCTCTCAGTACCCTGAGAACAAAGAGCAACGGAGCATGGGCAAGTGCATCGCGAGGCAAAAGGTTTTGACCGATAGACACCATGCCGAACACGAGCAGCGGCCAGAACTCTTCGCCAATTGAGATCGACGAGCAAATTCTGGCAATCTGGTGATGGAGAAGGTAGTCCATCCAGGAGACAAGGCTCCACGATTCATTGCCAGGAGCATCGTCAATGCTTAGATTCGACGTTCCGTTAGCGCTACGAACCGTCGCAGCGGTCTCTTCTCACATCACAACAGAACTTCTGCGTCAGCTATGCGGGATATGGCGCTGCATAAGGACTCGAGGAAGATGACGGAGTGTTCAGGTGATCTGAAAATGCGGAACAAGCCACATAAACCTGCCATGAATCAGTCCGAAGCGCTTAGCAATGAGCACACTAGCAAAGGCCTGAACAGACTGAGTATGTCGGACCTGCTGAAACTCTTCCCACGGCCAAATGCCTTGTCTAAATTGCTTCTCCTCCGAATTAATGACTTGTGACTATGACTTATGCCCTTCTTTCTCGACAGGATACTTGTCCAGAGCCTCAAACCACAAGATCAGACTCCCAATCAGAAAAGCAATCGATGCCCAGATTAGCGTCAGATTACTCTGATATTGGCATCCACTCAGGTCGCAATATCCCAGAGCAGCAGCCAGAGTCCAACCAACCGAACCTATCATATTCCACACGCCAACCCACCACCCGAGCACATGAGGTGCAGGTGTATACCAATTTGGCTGGGTCTCAAGCATGTACAGTGCAGATGACACGATGAAGAGACCACCTCCAACAAGGTATGTCAACCAGTACAAGCCCCATATAACACCCTGACTAAGGGAACTGTAGACGCCAGGTAGAGCGAGTATAGTGTTGATGTAGAAGACAGTTGCTCCGACGAACTCCGCAAAGGAACCCAAGAAGCCGATCTCGCGCAAGTAGTGAGTCCGTAGCTCATGCCAGGTCGGCCACCATTCCCATCGTCGCTGCGAGCCTTTCGAGCCTAGAGCGCCTCTCAAAAATCCTCGGTTGCCGCTGTGGTGGTGACCACAAGCACTCTTCTCCGGCTTGTATCGTACACTCGCTCTGCCGGGATTTTCGTGCTCGGAAACGACATGCTCGAGCTCCCATCCAAAGCATCCGGTCTGATTCTCATTCGTAGCTTCAATGACCAGAAACACAGCTCCAATCTCAAACAGCGTTCCACCAATGAATGAAGTGATACCTCCCGCCGTTGCGCTTTCGTAGGGGAAGTCTGTGCTTGGAGCTGCCAGGGGAAGCCAGTAGAAGAAACCGCAGATGATGAAGACGACGGAGCCGACTGAGAAAAAGAAGGCGACAAGGAAAGAGACGTCCCACCAGGGAAAGGTGGCGAACATGCGCCCGATGCCGTTGGCGATGGCTCGGGAGGATGACGTTGGTGCTGGGAGGCCTTGGGCGGCGTTGTCGGTTGGAACGACTAGGGTGTGCCGACCTAGGAGGGTTGTTAGTGCTGCTGTTGAGGTTTGGAAGGGTGATTCGTTGCCTTTGCGATTGTCTCGAGAGCGCCATTGGAATTGAGCTTCGTTGTGAACGTCGGCTCCAGGGTGATCGGGTAATCCGGAGGCTGAGCCCTTTATATCGCTAGCCTTTGGTGTGTGTTCAAAGCGTGCTCTTGTCGGATTGAAGAGCGACGATGGCCCGTCCACAAGTTCATCTTTCAGCAGTACATCACGTTGATCCGAGAATGGTGGTGGTCGGGAAGAAGGGAAGGCGTTGTTCATCTTCACTTTACAATGTGCCATTGGCCAGATTCTTGCCGTGGCAGACTTTTGTATTGCGGGATCATACTCTGAGAGAAGTTCGACATGGTCAACAAGAAGAGAGTAAACGTTGGCATGGCTCACTGCACCCGCTCGTTGAGTTAGCTCCACGTCACCGGCTCACCGGCCACGAGTCGCCCCGCGAGTGTGGATACGAGGGATGACGACTGTCCGTGAGGATCTGCAAGTCATCGCGTTCATGGCAGGCACGTCGACTCAGCTAGACGTCCGTCGCGATTTAGAGATCGACATAGCTGTTATCGTAGAATCGAGAGCGGTCTTTTACTTAATCAGGGCAATCGCAACCTCCACCATCTCAGCAATTGCGAGAAGAGTTGAAGATGGCGCTGGCGCAAAACGGCGCTCATCAGCTTCAGCCTGAAGTACCCGCTCTGAGCCAGCAAAGGGCAGTCATGCTACATAAAGGAAATCTAGCTAGTCCGATCCTACAAGTGCATCGTTGAGCCGTTCGTGAAGTCGAAAATTACACAAGCTTTAAGCTTGAGAACAAGAGCTCGCAGCATGCCAAGCCGGACCTTGATGACGACATCAGTCGGCAGCAGTTGCTTCGAGAGCCCCGCAGCAGTGCCTCTATACTAAATTTCATTGTCTCTAATCGACGATCCCACAACAGTAGCCGGGTCGAGATAATAAACACCTCCCACCAAAACATGTGCGCCAATGCTTCGCTTAGAACGCAGAACGTCAAGTGACAAGAAACCATCTTCGTCATGCTCCGTAAACATTACGATAGCATGACCACGTCTACTTCCGAGTCTTAGTGCAGCCGGTGCAGTGCTCGGCACCCATACTTCTACGACTCCCTCAGTCGAGAGCAAAACCGCTTTTCGCAGCTCAATCTTCCTCTGAATCTGACTTAGCGTGTTCAAATGGTAGGCTTGTGGCGTCCTTCCCTCAGTCCCTAGTAATACCCTCCGATAGCGATTTCGATAGGGACTGTAGTCGAAACATCGGCCACCTATATGGTTATTTATATAAAGCTCGTAATATCTAGGTCTATAGGGTCTATTATAGTCGCAAAATTAGTTATCCCTAGCATATTACTAGTATATCCACTTATTAATTTCTACTAGTAGGATATACTAGATATTAGATTGAATGTATTATCGTACTCTAGATATAACGGGTTATAGGATTTACTATCTATTATGTTTTGCGCCTCTAGTATAGTCTACTTCGCGTCTTAAAAGTAAGTAGCGAAATATAATCGTAAGATCGATTCTAGATTACTTAAATTAGGAATTACCTACTCTACCTAGTAGAATTGCGGGTCGTTATAGATTAGTAACGACTATTATAAAGGTAATAGTTATATTAGTAGAAACGACGGATTTAATTAGGGTGCGGGACTTCGTATAAGGGGTATTAATAATGTGCTATTAAATATAAAGCTCTTACGGAAGATAGGTCGCTTTCTAGGTTATAAATCTCCTTACAAATAGGGGCGATCTTGCTAGCTATAGTCTAAATCCGAGCTAATCGAGCCTCGTCGCCGTATAAAACTAGCTCTATAAGCAATAAGCTTAGCTTATAGCTTATTATAGTCGCCCTCGAAGTTCTCTACCTTACTACTTGTAAGGTTTCCGGCGTAGTTATATAGGGGATATAGCTACGACGAAGGGGTTATAGTAAGGAAGAGAGTAGGGATAAATCGAAGAGCGTACTCGCTATACGTACCCTAGCTACGCTAGCGGTACGTACGTAGTATCTAGTACGATAGTAACGATAGTAAACTTAAGGAGTAGAAGAGAAGGAAGTCTCTACTTCCTTTTCCTCTATCTCCTCTCCTTAGCCCCCTCGCTTAATATAGGAGCTAATATATTCTATTAGGTATCTAGATTAGATACCCTACGGACCCCCTACGGGGAGCCGGAATATATTACGTAACCTAGGCTAACTATAGATAGCCTATAGTCCTCCTATAGTTACGTATAGAATACTATAGATATAGTACGACACCTTATAGTCGCCCTCTCTTACGCCTAAGGTCCTTATTAGGCCCGTAGTAGAAAAGGTAGGCTTTACTTCGTTTCGCTCTACCGTAGGCATCTCCTATAGAGATCCCTAGCTTAACTATAAGGATACCCTACGGTACCTCGTAGGTTCGTAGGACTATAACTATCGTTAAACTTATATCTAAGTTAGGAATTTACCTTATAAATATGCCTTAGTTACCCTACGAATAGCCGCCTAAGAGTATCTACGTGCTTAGCAAGTTATAATACTTAGGGTTAGCTATTCGCGTAAGTTAGGCGGACATTAAGGCCTATACGTTTGTTTGTTTATTTATACGCCGCGCGTAGAGAAACAAATAGGCCTAATTCCGCTTCTTACCCTTACTTAGACTTTAAATATTATATTAATAGTCTTCGTAAGATTCTTCTAATCGTTAATAATATTATCTATAATACTTATATAGCGACTAGTAAGGTACTATTATATATATAGGTATATTTAGGGGGCTTACGGAGCTTATACGGTATACTTATAGTATATAACCTAATTATAAGTAGTAATTAATAATTAATAATTAATATTAATATAGCTAGTGCTTATACTAAGGGGTTATACTTACTAGGCATTATAGTATTACTCTTTAAAGATAACGCTATATAGGAGTAGTCTTAGGCCGCCGCCGATCTAGAGGCTAAAGCCGAGTTCTCTACCTATAAGAGGTATACGAAAAGTATCGCTATTAGCTATCGTTATAAGCGACCGGACTATAAGGCGTACGGGTACTACTCTAGTAGTAAGAGAGCTAGCTATAAACTTATAAGTTACTCTTATTAAAATCCCGTATACGATTCGATAGCTAACTATAATAGCTCCCTCTATAGTTTAACGGCCGTATTACTAAAGTATCCGAGCTACGTAATACCTTCGTTAGGACGTACTAGGCCTAGTACCGTACCGTTAACGTTACTACGTAGCGCGTACTAGACGATAACGAAGTCCTCTAGGCCGCCTTAGAAGTAAGCTTAGCTTAGCGTACGCTCGTACGAGAGCTACGGGAGTTCGAGACTAATACTAACTAGTCTAGTAATAATACTAGATTGCCTACTCGTCGTCCTCGCTCGGTATAGGAGTATATATCTTTAGTAGCAGACCGTAAGGCTATACGCGATAGTACTTATCTAGTATAAACCCCTAATACTCGTCGAGTAGGTAGTACTTTTGCGGTAAGTAACCTATCCTTCTTCCCTAAGTACCGTATACTAACTTCCCCTAGAAGAATATTACGCGTAGTCGTACTAAGGAAGCTCTAGCTACGTCGCTCCTATTACTATATAAGACTATTAACTAGTATACTCCTAACCGTCGTACCTCTAGTAGTATATCTAATTACGTCGGTCTAGGTAGTATAAGGCCTAACTTACCCCTACGCGGTAATCCTAAGACGCCCTTACGTTCGCGTAGGAGGTCCGTACGTAATACTAAGGCCGTAGTAGTAGAAGAGGTAGATAAGTTAGAGTTAGAATATATTAATATCGATACCCTAAGTGCGGATAGTAAGTCCGACAACTTTATATCTAGCGATACCTTTATAGCGCGCCGCCTCTTCGCCGGCCCCCGTCCTCGCGTACTAGTAGGTTAGAACTATATAAGCGGCGCACTCCTAGAGGATACTCTATAGCCTCGTATTTAGCTAGCCTCCCTAACTATCCTTACTAGTAGGGAGTTTGCTACTCTATACCGTCGTCGTACTCGTACTACTACTACTCCCTCCCGCCCGCCTACTACTCCGGCTACTATATCTAGTAATAAGCGTAAGAGTAGCGGTAGAGCTAGGGAGTCGTCTACGAAGCGTACGCGCTTCGCCGACTAGGAATCTAGTAGTAAGAAGACGGATAAGGGTACCTTTACTTAGCTTATAGAAGGTATACGTATACTTTCTAAGGCCGTAATAGTCTAGCCCTTACCGTTACTACTACTATTTATAGGCGAGGAGAATAGCCTAGTAAGCCTATTCTATCGTAACTTCCTAGTATCTAACTTCGATAAGTTAACTCCGTACGATACTCGTAGGCTATTAGCCGTATCGTTAGCCTAGTTTATAGAGTAGGAGACCAAAGCTATATTAGCTACTAAGGCCCGTAAGGGGTTACGTAGTATATTTTACGCCTAGTCGCTAGAAGTGGCACGTCTAGATAAGGAGGAGGCTAAGTAGACTAGAGAGATATAGCAAGCTCGCACTCGCTACGAGCGCTATAACTAGCTTACTAGTCTTATCCCTAGCCGTCGTAAGGCTTCGCCTTACCTATAGGATACTACTAGCGCTAGCCCTATTACTACTTTCTCTAGCGAATAGTAGGAGGAAGCTACTAGCGATAAGTCTCCCCCTCCTTCTATACTACCTACTCTATTCTCTTACCTTACCTAGAGGATTAGTACCTAGAAACTTCCTATAGCATCTAATAACTAGGTAGTAGCCTTACCGTATAACGTCCGCCTATACTTAGTAGCGTACCTTATCGGCTTCGGCTATAATATAGTACGTATACTTACTATATACTATACTTAGCGTTTACTAGAGTTCTTAGAGTTTTTATAAGGTTTTTTTAATTTAGTTTATTTCTTAGAGAGTTTCTTAATAGGGTAGTTTAGTTAAAAGAAGGTTAGATTATAAAGGGTAGTTATATTACTACGTTTTTAAGTCCTTCTAAAAGTATAGGTAGTTACCGTATTCGTAACCGTATACTTACTATATCTACTTCTTACCTTTTCTACTTTCTTCGTAAACTCCGCTACTCCTATAGTAACTCCTCTATAGAATCGAAGTTATTCTCTAGTATCTATTAATTCTATTCGGAGTTATATCCTTTCTATAATAGCAAGTACTCTATCTTACCGCCTCTTCTCCTCTTACTAAGAATCTTCTTAACTTCGAAGACCTCGTCGCTATTAGGCGCTAGCTCTAGGGCTTTAGTATTCGCTATCTT